GGCAGTAAAGACCAGCAGGGGGCAGTAAAGACCAGCAGGGGGCAGTAGAGACCACTGAGGAGCAGTGGTCTCTGCTGGTCTCTACTGCCCCCTGCTGGTCTCTATTGTCCTTTATTGCCCCCTGCTAGCCCCTCCTGGCCTCTGCTCCCCCTGCTAACCTTTACTGCCCCTTGCTGGTCTGATGGGGGAAACTTTGATGTCTTATTTAGAGGAAATTAGCAAGTTTTAGCATTTTTAAAACTCTAAAAGAAGCTAAATCTGTTTAATTAGTTCATTAATAATTAATTGATTGATTAATTCATTAATACGTTTTTAACGCATGTTTTATTATATCTAATAAAAGGGGTCTATATGAGTCTGACTTGAAACAATTCCAACTTTAAACTTTGGACGATTAAGCTCTTTCAAAATTAAAATATCATTCTTATTTCTTATGTGACATTATTTTAGCTTTAGATAATTGTTTATATATTTAAGAAATGTCGTTCGCCATCCCGTCTGAAAGGATAAAGCATGCTCAATAGTTTTATGGGAAAAGAAAAGAGGAAATAAGGATTTATAGAAGGAATATATAGGAAAAGTGGAGTAACAGATTGAGATTGAGTCTCTGCTAGATAGGAATAGAAATGCGGATAATACCTTTAAAAAGAAAGAAAATGGAGAGAGACAAGATTTAGGCTGGCAGAAACATTACATAACCCTCCATCAGACCTGTGGAGGAAAAGCAGAGGAGAGGACAGACGCAGTCTGTGAATGAAAGGAGACGTTCCCGAGTCCTCCTCTGAACCCGACACACACACACACACACACTCTCTTCTGTGAGTCATGAGGGGGTTTCTTCAGCCGGGGTCCACAGAAGTCTCAGCCACTGTGGGATTTTGGATTTTCCTATGTTTTGAACACATCCTGTACAGGAATAAGCAACCAGAGTTGATGAATTTATCCAAAGTTTAGAAAGCCACAATCATTGAGACAGATGTGTGTTGTCAGTTGGAGTAAGAAAAAGATATAATGAAAACAAAACTAGAGACAGTGAGTCAGATTTGGTGCTTGTTAACAGTTTGTGATGTTTTTAGAGATTATAGACCAACCAAAAAGAGGAGCCATAATCCCGGATAATCCTATAGAAACCTCTGTCTCCATAGCAGCCAGTCCAGCATCTGACTAGCTGGCTAGCCAGTATGTCCAGTCATCCAGTTAGCCAGTCCCCAGCCGTCCCCTGTCTAATTATTCTCACTTTACAGTCAGTCTGACAGCGGTGATGGATTTAATTCAGAATAGAGCACTTCAGATGTGGACGGATCTCCATTTTAACACAAGAAGATGCCCTGGAATGGCCTGTGCATTACACTGATGAAGAATGATATCCAGACATTTATGAGGAGCCTTTTCTGACTTTTTAAAAGCATATTTAATTAAATCTGTCATCCAAAAAAGGCTGTTGCACGCAGACTCTGTTTAGGGTAGTGCTTTGATTAGGTACTGAAGGATGGTTTGTTATTATTATTATCTTTATTGACAAACCATGTGACAGAGTTTGCGTTTTCCGGCGGCCTTTGAACGCCTCAGCAGCCTCCACATCCAGAGGACTCCGCTCTCACTGCTGCCGGCTCCTGATTGGCTGAGCCGGCTGGAGAAGGGGAGGGGCGCGTGTCTGTGTCCTGGCACCAGCCTTCTCCGCGAGCAGCCAAAGGTGGAGAGACTTTCCCCATCACGCACTCTCCTCTCACCCACGTCCACGCGCACACGAGCGAGAGGACCACAACGCACCCGACCGGTGAGTGCCTCATTTCCCCCTTTTCCTCTCATCCACGACACGCGCCCGCGCCCTGTGCGCGCGACCTGGAGTTAGACCCCCCCCCCCCCCTCCCCCTGCGCCATCCTGGGGCGCATTTTCCTAACAGAATAATAACCATGTCGCCTTTTGCAGCGGGACCGGGGGGGGTCTGCGGTAGGGTCCGGGTGGGCCCACTTTCTGCCCCTCACGGGGGGGGGACAGGCCTCCAGACAGGCACAATGGAAGAGGGAGGTGGGCGTGTGAGGAGGAGAGGAGAGGAGAGGATGGGAGGGGAGGGGAGGGGAGGGGGGGATAGAGGGAGGGAGGGGGGGGGCGCGTGTCTCCCGCAGAGCTCCGCGGGTCCGGGTCTCTTTGTTAAGGCTGATGCCGCATCATGACGACGGTGCATCCCCACCGCGGAGCATCCTCCAGCCTGTAGCAGCACACATATCCCTCCGCCCTGGAAAAAGGCCCGCAGTACCCGGGCCTGATCCAGATCCAGACCCAGATCCAGATCCAGACCCAGATCCATAACCAGATCCAGATCCAGATCCAGAGCTGCCTCCCTAAAAAGGGGCTATGGAAAGCTACAGATTACGATATACGTCTTCAGGGATTCCAGAGGCACAAACAATCACATCTGCGTGTTATGTAAAGGTATTTTCTGATGTTACAACATTTAGAGGAATAGTCTGATGTTGTATAGAGAGTAAGCCAGACATTATATCATAATACCCCCCCCCCCAGCACTGCGTCCTCCTCCTGTGTGGATTATGGGCCTACATATTGTTTAATCTTTGCTCATATTATTCCCCCCGACTGTTCTGGTTTTTGTGGTCCTGAGTGTTTCACATTCATAATTCAGAACCGCTTCTTATCAGAATCAACGCACGACAGGCTCATGCTGGAAAATTGCATCAGATTACAGCTCTTATGCTTAGAAATAACCCTGGTCTTAGATAAAAACAACCCTTTTGCTGCTCTGCTCTGATTGTGGTGGAAGTGGAATCGTTGGAGAGCAGACACGCGGTGTTATGTAAAAGTCTTCATATTCTGGACTTTGCTGCCTCGTCTAATTCATCCTCAGACATGCCCGGCCCCTTTGGAAACACTTTTAGATAGTGTACTAACACCACTTCTGTCAGGCATCACTTAAAGTCAACAGTACATCTGTTTATTGATTCCAGGCCTACTCTCACACTTCTTTAGGACAAACCCATTTGCAAAGCTTTAGTTTCTTAGTTTTAAAAAGATACTAAAAATTTGGACATGTTTTAATTGTTTCAAACAATCGTTTACTGGCAGCTTTTTCCAGCATCTCAGTTCTCTTTTAACCAGTCAGAGTTCTTTAGAAAGACACCTGAAAATAAGTTACTCCATTTAGACAAATGGATGCTGAGTCAATATGGAAGTAGCTGTTTCTCGTGTTGATAAATGACAGCTACACTTGGATCATGAAAATATTCACACAAATGCTTATGACCAAACTCTGTATAGGGGAAAATATACAGAGAGGAAATATATCAAATATATATAAACATATAGAAGGAAACTGGAGAGCCGATCTTCATCCCTCCATTCGTTTAAGTGTTCTTGGGCTGCTAGAGGACTTCTACCATTTCATCATCTTCCAGTCATGGACAGTGTTTTGCTCAGTTAAGTCATAATAAAATCTGTGATGATCAGCTGTGACTATAAGAAATATATAAAGTTAATGGTTGTAAAGTATCCTGAGTCAGGCAGAGAAATGAGAAAACAGTAGCCGGGATTTCCACATTAATGCCTGGATAGTGTTTTGTAAAATGTCAAATGGTGAGGTTTTAAGGTTTCTGCTGGTGTAACAACAACAGTGATTCCATCCTTTATCGGTCAGGATATTTTCCTAACATTTTGAAACGGGGGAGAGTGTGAACGTAATGGGTTTTGCGTGACTGTGACATTTCATAGAGCACTCAGGTAATGAGCGCTGAGAGACGACTGCATACTGAATATGACCCAACTGACTGATGGTCAGGTGTAAAGTAGAGATGGTAGTTTCCTGAGCAGGTGATGAAGTCTGTGTGTGAGACAATATTATTAGAAACGTGTTCATCAGCTCACATTAACAGTGGTAGGGTCTCTCTCACTTTCCCAGTGCCCCTGTTTTAATGCTTGAGTGGCCAAACGCGTCCCTTTATCCCGTTCTCAGAGTGGAGGTTGTTGGTTACATCACAGTTAGTGATCAAATTTGCACTTTTTAAATAGCCAAATCATTCCAGGCACCAGTTCTCTGCTGGTGACTTGACACGGATGCCTCAAACAAAGTCTGAGCGGGAGTTTCCGGTTGACTGGAGCATGGCTCCAGGTGGTGGCCGTGAAAGAACAGGGTGGAAAACCAAACTGGATTTTGGAAACAGTAAAATCCATTAAGGCTTCTCTCTGCTTTGATGAGCATGTTTAAATAGAAGCCAAACTGCTTGGCTAGGAAATCAAAATCAGAATCTAATTACTTCCTGCTATTTTTTGCAATTTGATGACTGTTTCTTTGTTGCTTTATTCTTTATTTACATTTCTATTTCATTGTTCAGCTTGCCTTACCATGCCTTTCATTTATTATTATTCTGTTATCTAGTGTCCTAACATGCTTATTGACTCGTAGAAGTGGATGAACTCATCCAAATGTTTTTATAAGTTCTGTAACTTGGATTTCAGTGGTATTCTGGTCTGAGGGTCAGCAGGGTTTCCTCCAGTAGGACCACTCTGGTTTGGGTCAGAACTACCTCAGCATTGTTGTCTAGTGAAGGTTTGTAAGACTAACAGGTGAACGAGGTTTTGGAAGTTGGTTCTGATCCTCTCGCTCTTCAACAATCCAACCATCAGCTCCAGGATTTTAGGGCCGTTTGGGTTTCCGGGTTGTGCGGGTTTCTCCAGTCCAGCCCATAAATACACAATCAGTCTGTGATAGCTGGGTTAAACCGTAAAGTTGTGTCTTCAGTCTGCTGGGCTCTAATGTAATTCTCTGATTGGGCGCTTAGCTGCTCCAGGATGTGCCGGTTTTGTCCATAATTTGATTAATCTATATTTTAGATAAGCACTCAAAGTTATGCAAATTCACACTTGTTGGGATGTCATCAAACTAAACAACGTGGAGCTTCTGGGAGCCACTAACATGAAGGTATTCAACAGGAAATAAATAGGTGAAAAACACCTTCTGAGGATCTCATAACTATTTGTTAATATGCAATTTTTGTCTACTGCTATTTTCTTTTAATTGTGTTGGTACAGCTCAGAAAAACAGCCTTGTCCTCCATAAACTCATAAACCTCTTTATTTGAAGCCATGGTGCTTTGTAAATACTGTTATTGATTCTTTTGTTCTGATAAGGTGACATTAAAGCAAATATTGATTGTGTATTTGTAAGTATGTAAAATGACATTTTTGGCATCTCTGATATCCAACAAATTATTTTGAGAGACAGTTTGTTCATAGGGATAAATTAGGCCTTATAAACTGGCCAGTGTGGTGGAACTGGGCATCAGGATGAGTCCTAACATTAGTACTTACAGATCCCTCCCCTAACTGAAGGGTAGAGGGAGGATGAAATGATCAAACCAAAACTTAAGAGAAAAAAAAGGTCATTTTCCCCAGCCGAGCGGATCCAGATCCAGATCAGACGTGACATCACGAGGCTATGGGAGTTTGTTATTAATGTGTTTCTTTTGCATCTTCATCCTCCTCCTCCTGAAAGCTCCCATGAGTGTGAACGTCATTTTAAACAAGCAAAGGTCGTGGCTGTTGTGCTGATTGTGGGCTGAGACTGATATGGGAGCTGACATCCGACAGTCCGGCAGAACGAGGGCTGGGTGAGCATGAAACGTCCCCTCCAATGACTCCTCAGTGCACGGAAAGGCCTGAAATCCTGAGTGGAATAACACTTCTCCATGTTATTTCTCATGAGTGTACGTTGATGCTTTCTCCTCCCTTAAGACTCGTTAATTCACCGTGTTTGGCCAATTGAAATGGGCCACATGGTGCTTGTCAAATGGAGGATGGCGAATAAAAATAGACATTGTACTTTACTCAAGATCTGCATTGACTTTGTTTCTTTACTTCAAAAGAGACATTTACTCTACTGCCTCATTACATTTTTTATGAATGTTTTAGAGAGTTTATGACTTATTTAAGTTACTATACCTTCATTTATTTGTCCATAACAAGCTAACAGCAGCACTGTTAGCAGCTCTGTACAACAAAACAGTCGGAAAATGGTCTGAACATTACTGAATGCTTATAGATTTAAGATCTCGGAGACTCTCGGGATTTTTATCTCTGCGTGTCATGTCTCCCAAACGCATCACACGGCCATGTTTGACAGGTTTGCGCAGTTAGGAATTGGGCTTTTTGAAGTGTCTGCACCTTTCTCCCATCCTCCTATAGTGTGGATGTGTATTTACATGATCCTGTGTGTGTGTGTGTGTCAGTGTGTGTGTGTGTGTGTGTGTGTGTGTGTGTG